CATTGATATATACTTACACATATATTTACATATATATATATATATATTGACCAAATACACATCCACATTTCCAAATATATCTGTATTTTGGTCAACATTCCAGGCTACTTACTGGGTGACTGGGTGTGTTTTTAATAGGACATATCTATACTATAGTCGAATACATTCAAAATCGCATTTATACATACATCGGCAAGCACATCTGCGTCTACACAATGATCGTTAACGTTTTGAATTGCTCCAATCGACGTGTTTGCCTTTACACGGACATGTACATCCGGCCAAACGTATCCGTAACTGTATCAGCCTCCACTATACCTGCTCTACATATACATCGGTTTACTGTCACACAATCGGACTCGTTTATGCTTGAATTAACATCCACCCTCGCACCCATCTCCATCGGTACAACGTACCTTCCAGCAGCAGCAGGCCTTAGCCCAGCAGAAGGCACAACAAGCGCAACAGCAACAACAACAACAGCAACAACAACAACAAGCAGCTCAACAGCAGGTACAGGCACAGCAACAACAGAATGCTACTGCAGCTACACCGGGCCAATCAGCGCAAGTACCAACCCCTACTGCGAACAACGCGGCGAAGAAGGAAGCGCACACACCCGCACGCACTCCCACAGCCGCCCATACCCCAGGAACTGCCGCGTCTTTTAGTACACCACAAGTATGCGTGTGTGTGTGTATGTATGTGTATGTGGTTGTATGTGTATGTATGTATGGATGTATGTGTGTGTGTGTATGTGTATGTGGTTGTATGTGCTTGTATGTGTGTGTATGTGTTTATGTATGGGTACGTATGTGTCTTGCCGTGTGTGTATTGTTAAGTGTGTGTATATATGGAGTCAGTTGGCTTGGCTTGTGTATCTTGGGTGCGTGTGCCAGAAGCATGTTCATTTATAGTCTATTGACTTGTCCTTCCTGTGTGTTCCTCGAAGGGAAATCACGCTTAAATGAAAACACGTACATACGTTGCTACCATGCTTCTTCGTATACTTTTTTTTAACCCACTGCAGCCGTCACCACTCCGTATCAGTTTGGCAAGCTGTATATATCCGTACATGGTGTTTAACGCAAACATACATCTGCGCGTAACGACTAACTAAACAGACTTTATAAAATTTATCGCATCTGTTCGCGGCCAGACGTGTATGTATAGGTCGTGATTATCTGACCCGAATCGGCCCGTTTAGTTTATATCTGTATGTTCATTTGTACGTGTGTGGGTGTTGGTAGCATTCATATCCGGAGATTCAACCCTCCGCATTTAACGCTACGTGGCGCTTTGTAGTTGCTGACTAAAGTAAATACAACCGGGTGGCCGCTGTTTGCCTATATACGTATTTTCTATAGGTATATTGACTTTGACCACAACTGACTTCGAACGTGCCCCACATGTCAACGTTTTGCCCCACAGCAACTACAACAGCAACAACTGCTGCAACAACAGTCCCAATACACACCAGCGCAACAGGCGGTGCTACTACAACAACAGCAGCAACAGCAGCAGCAACTACAGGCACAGCAACAGCAACAACTGGCCCTACAACAACAGCAACTGCAACAACAGAAACAACAACAACAACAGCAGCAACAGCAGCAGCTACAACAGCAGCTACAACAGCAGCAGCTACAACAACAACAACAACAAGCAGCTCAACAAGCTCAACAACAACAAGCTCAACAACAACAGCAACAACAACAACAACAACAACAACAACAACAACAACAACAACAACAACAGCAGCAACAGCAGCAGCAACAACAGCAACAACAAGCTCAACAACAGGCACAGCAGCAGCAACAGGCTAAGACCAATGGCGTGTCTGGGAAGGAGTCTACCAGATCGTCGATTCAAAAGGTACGTGATTGTTGGTGCGTGGGTGAGTGCGTATGTGAGCGTACAAGGGTGTTTGCTTCCGTGTACATGAGTGTATGTTTTATTCCCGCGTGTACATCCCTGAGTGGTACAGGTACAGAGCCGCATAGGCTCGTGTGTGGCCCGTTGGTGTATAGTCAAGTCATCGTACATTTGCCTGTGCGTGCAACCGCTTGCGATTAATCAAGCACGGGTGTTGCTTAGCAACCAATCAGCTGTTAAATATATATCGGCCTAGTACGGCCTAGTACAGACTTTTTTTTCGGGACAGCACTATAAAACAAATAGGAGTCCGATTCGTATATATATATCATTGTTCATGTTTACGTTCAATAGAGGTCTACCTACACTCTGGATCCCAATTCGAGTGCAACCAAACCTGTCCTGTCCTGTACTTTAGGTGTTGTACTGCGTTTTATTGTCCCAAAAATTTGTTTATCGGCCCTTCTGACACACTTCTTAGATATTTTCAATACCCTTTTTTACGTTGCAGGATACGCCGAAGACTCTGGTCAGTGCAGCTTCCAAAGCACAACTAACTCCGCAAATTAAACACGAGCTTATGCCGCCACCCACCCCAGACCACTACTTATCGGTACGATCATTTATACATATAT